TTGCCAAATTAGGACACTTATTTTTATTTTTGGGTAATTAATCATAACACCTAATTTTGAGATAAAGGGATTAAATAGTTGGTCAATAATATAAATATGCTTTTTAGGAAGAGGTAGCAAGAAACCAATTAATTACAAAGCCCACATCCAAATTGAACTAGTAAAACGACAATGGAGAAACAAATGATCACTCGTCTCCTCATCTTCGTTGCAAAAGATACAACAATTAGCAATAAATTTTTTCTTTCTTCTCAAATTATTCACCGTTAACACTTTATTTTGAGACAAAGTCCATATAAATAACTGAACTTTATGAGGAATACGTCATTTTCATATAGATTTAAGATTAGGCTGCTCCCATCTAAATAGTAAAAATACATAGATTTCACCAAAAAACCCCCGTCATTGGTCAATTCCCAAACAACCTCATCATCATGACTCTTATAACTATATACCGTTACCAAATCAATCATAAGTTTACAAACCGAGTGAGTGGATAGTATCTAGTACTCTATTACATATGAATCGAATATCCCAGGTGGCCCTATCTAAAGACCAACAATATATATCTTCTACCTTGAGAAATTGACTAGTAGTTTTTTCAAATAGCTCCTTATATTGTACTTTTATAAGGTTTAGTCCAAGCCATTTGTGGTTCTATAAATCAATAGATGATCCCCCATCAACCTTCCTCCGCACATTCATCGTGACCATTTTCCTATTAGCGAATATCCATTTCTAAATTTGTGATTGGCCACTACGTCCTCTTATTTTTCCAATAAATGTTGCATGATCCACCCCATATTTAGTAATAACAAAACTCTATCCATAATTGTTCACCTCCTACAATAAATCCCCACTGCCATTTAGAAATAAGAGCTTGATTCACAAGCTTAATCTTATGAATCTCATAGCCCCTTCAGCCTTAGGTGTACAAACATTATTCCAACCTATCAGATGATATTTATGACTACCATCAAGATATCCCTATAAAAAAGTATACGTAAGGTGCTAAATTTACTTAACAATGGGAGCCGGCATATGCAACAAAGACATTAAATAAACAAGCATATTGAATAAAGTCAAGTTAATAAAAGTAACTCTGCCTCTCGGAGAGATAATTTTAGATTTACATAAGTCCATTTAGTATGAACTCTCTACAGTACTGAATCCCACACCGATCTCAAAAGTCTGGAGTCTAAAATTGGAATACCAATATAAGTGATAGGGAAATTACCCATTGCACACCCCATTGATGAAGTCAACAAATCAACCAATGACTCATCACAACCCACACCTAGCGAAGAGGTTTTTGCAAAAATTAACATTGGGACCATTAGTAACTTCACAACATCTAAAAAAAGAGTGAAATAACTTGCACTTGCTGTAAATTTGCATCACAAAAACACAAGAGTATCACTTGCATACTGTAAATGGGAGATACAAGGACCACCATCAACCACCTCAAAACTATTAAATTGACCCCTTTGCTCCACTTTTTTTAGCATCAGACGAAAACCTTCAACTACCAGAGTAAAGAGAAAAGGGGATAAAGGGTCCCATTTCCTTTGTCCTCTAAAAGATTTAAAAACTCATTTGGGTTTACCGTTAACTAACATAAAAAAATGAACCGAAGACAAGTAGCCCATAATCCACCTCCTCCACTTAAATCAAAAGTTCATGTCCTTCATCATTTAATTCAAAATATTCCACTCCACTATATTATATGCCTTTTCCATGTCAAGCTTCAAAAGCAGTCCGAGATTTGAACTCAAATTTATAGAATGCAAGCACTTATGCATAATTTAAATACTACATGTAATTATCCGCCCTTTAATAAAAGCTCATTGAGGCCCATTGATCACGTATGAAAGAACCAACTTTAACCAAAGTAAAAGCATTTTAACAATAAAAAGAGTTTATTGAAATGCCATAAATAGAGTTTGTTTTAGCGATTAAGGCTATGAAGGTGGTATTAATAATCACTCGATCAAAAAATTCAAGCACCATGTCAAAAACACCGTCCTTCACCACATCCCAAAACTTGTAAGAAAACTCCAAATAAAAACCATTAGGTCTTGACGCTTTATCCCCAGCTATAGAGAAAACAACTCGTATAACCTCATCCATAGATACTTGTGCTTCCAATTACTAGGTTCTATGGATAGAGATAGTTATAAAGGGAACTCCAGGGATCTTGAGATATATTTACTAGTAGAAGCTTTATCAAAACGTTTAACAAACTCATCATCCTATGCCAAACAATCATCCTCTATAACCCCACCAAAAGAACTTCATGAGATATCGTTCTGACACTTCCTAGAGTTGGTAATGGCATGAAAGAAAGCGGTGTTTAAATCAACTTCTTTCAGCCATTTAATTATGGACCTATGGCTCAAATACACCTACTCTTGCCTTAACAATTCATGTAGCTCCTGGTCCAGTCTAGTTTTATTTGCTAAATTATTCTTAGTAAAATACTATATTGTTCAAATAAAACATACATAGTATAAAATACTACAATCATACTTCTATAAGTGAGATTACCATCCTATACGCTTTATTCCTTTCTATGGCATTTTGATTTAGTTTAGGGCTCTCAAATTGATGCATAGAAAAATCTGGTGGCTATAAAATTTTAATTTAATTAATTTTATTTTTAAATGTTGGATAGACTTTTTATTTTATTTTATTATGGTTAATTATTAAAAATATATTTTTTTGGGTTTCGTTAGTAAAGTCTTTATTCCAATAAAGTATCATTTTTCAATAGAAGGATAGATCATGTTATTTTGGTATGAGTGTTTTAGGAAAGTCAATGTTTTCTATATTAAAAGATAAAGTCCGTTTTCCTAATGAAATAATTTAAGAAAAAGTAATGATCCTATGAGACCCTCCCACACTTGTGTGTGTAGGACCCCGAAGGATCACCATTAAATTTGGCACCGATCTCTAAAAAAAGTCAAGTCTCACAGTGATAACGTTTCTAGAGATTTATGCCAAATTTAATGATGATCATTTGGGATCCTACACACATGGTGTAGAAGGGTCTCAAAGGATCATTACTCTTTAAGAAAATGTCCCTATTTTTTAGATGGGGAATTATTTAGGAAAGATAGAGTAAATATTTTTACAAAGAGTTAGGTTTTCTTTTCGAAAGTCGTTTGTTATGGATAATTATTATCTTTAGCTGAGATAGGAAGTGCATCCATTATTTTATGGACAATTATCATCTTTAGTTGGTTTTTATTTTAAGGATAGTTACCATCTATCTTTTAAACTTTAAGAGGTGGTGCCTATCTTGTAGATAGGCACGTGGACTTGAATGTATCTCAATGGAAAGAAAATAATTGAGACGGATTGAAGAAAGGCGAACGTGTTATAAAAGGTGGAACGCTCATTGTAAACGGGGATTAATTTTTGTGAATGAAAAAACTTGCAATTTGCCATAGAGAGAGAGAAGCACTTTGTGGGTGTTTTTTTCTCTTGAATTTGGTCCGTGCTTGAATAGTTGGATCCGTACCTTTTATACTGTGTCACAAACTCGAAAAAATAAAGCTTAATCATCCTTAGAGTTGTTTTCAAATGTTTCCAAACTATTGTTATTTTTTTCATAGGTTGCATTCTATTACTGAACAATCGAAATGTTAGTTTGGGTGAACTAGTTGTCGTTGACAATTCAATTTTTCTTTATAATTAATCTTGATAATGAATTCTCTATTATTTGGTAGGGTCCCTTGTAAATTTATACGAAATAGAGTTATTGACAATTTTACATATAAGTTTATCTATTTAAAAATTTGTTTTAGCTTTATGTAGATAACTTTTGAAAATCACATATTTTTGCTATAAAAAACTAAAAATCAATTTGAAAGTTTAATCATCAAATAACATCACACATAAGACGAGATATGTACCAAACGTCAGACAAAATAATATCGTTCAAAGTATATTAATTTCAGATAAGATTATACGTTTCCTAATAGAATTAATAGTCATCCAAATATGCCCTAAAAGTGTTGGTATATATTTTACGTGCTTATATGCATTGCGTCTGTACATTTTTGTGCATTATGTCTGTACATTTTTTAGGTATGCGTTTTGATTTCTTTATGATCAACCATTTGATATTTATTCCCCCAAAATTGAATGTTTACTCCATAGTTTTTGATTCACAACTACCTTATTTTGATTAATTTGAGATTGTGATGAGGTTTTGTTCTTCAACCTCAAATTACCAATTCATTGTTCATCCAGTCTCTCTTTGGCTTATTAATGAAAAAAACTGCGAATCTTGTTTTAAATTGACAGTATTTAATCCATCTATTTAGCCCCTATATTAAACTGTAGTTTTGCAAATTAAAACAAGACAATTTGACTTTATAAATTTTAGGGTATTTAGAACTTGGAATCATAAAATTTTGATATCTCTCTCATTCCTCACCAAATTCATTAAAAACCATCGCAAAATTTCATTACATTGATATACAAAAGTCCTAACAATATTTTAAGATCACAATAAAAAGCTCGAATTTCATTTTAACAGTTTTTTCCATTTCTTTATTTCTAGAATAAATTATTGATTTTATATATTTTGATTTGATTTATGCTATGAAATCAATTATTTAATTTCAAATACTTGATTTAATGTATTTTGTTTTTGGGCATTGTTTATCCCAGTTTCCTGTCTGGTCGAATTTGTTAGGACGGCTCAATGGGTTGACTCGGTCGGCTTGGACCAGACCCGTTCGGGTGCTTTTAAACACTGCTCCACACAAGTAGTTTTGCTACAGTAGTGAACATAATCAGGCTAGTAACGTAGCCGCCCAATATCAGATCTTGAGGCTAAGAACGAATTTAGTCTCAAGTACCAAAACTGATCAATCCCATAGTGTATTTTCCCATGACAAATCACTGTGACTAGGGTTATTTTGGTCATTGATTACTTATGAGTTCCGCTTCGGCCGAGCCCCTTCTATTTAAGAAGAGAATCTCGTCTCATATCAAGGAGTCGAAGAACCCTAACTTTCTCTCTCTGGAGGTCATCGAACCGCAGCCTAGGGTTTTGCATTTGGAGCTCTAATTTGCTAATTTCCTGAAAATTTTACGTATCATTGCTTGATTGGTACTCAGGGGTTCTGAAAACCCTTAAAAGCCCTAACATTGACGAATGATTATTTCAATTCTAGGGTTTACGCTGGTCTTGCTCATATAAAAGTGATAAGAGATGTCTAGTTATGATGGAAGGTACGAGGGCAATGGGGAGAAATACACTGATTGGGGCTCTCCTAGAGGTGATCACAGTGGCCCTGGAGACAGGGATTCAAAGTCACATGTAGGCGAGGTATGTGTCCATTTTCTTTCTTTCCCACTCTAGAAATCAATTTACCTTAACAAGTTTGGTTTCTCACTCTTGATTTTGATTGTATCACATGATGAATATTTTTAGGTTTTAGGTTTTGGCATCTTTCATGGTCACTTATCAGCAAATATTGTTTGGATACTTTTGTTCTCAATGAGCATTATGTTTCCTCATATCTGAACCGTATTTAATGTAATGTATTGAAGGGTCAACCTTCATTGATAGCTGAGACTGTTTTGTGATGTCGATTGAGAGTGAGAAAATTTGAAGTATGCTGTGATTTCAGGATATTGATTCTTTGGACTGTTTTGTGATGTCGATTGAGAATGAGAAATTTTTAAGTATGCTGTCATTTCTTGATTTAAGTTTTTTCAGATTTGATTTAATTTGACGCATGAAGTTATTATGATGCTGGATCTTGGGTGTGGGTGGTTATGTCTTTCTTCTTCAAAATTGTAAATTCCCAAGTAACGATAATTGAATGATTTTTTGATATTTGGTAGATGGATGTGAACATCATGGTGGCTTGTGCATAGATCATGAAACCGCTTATAATTCATCATTCCCTTTTTATTTTTATTTTGCAAACTTTTTTTCATATTCCTTATTTTTATGTTGATATTTGCCTCTAATGTTTGTTTAATTCTGAAAATTTTCATTATTATTTGCTTTGTTGTTATTCACTTGTCTCTACGAGCCAAATGAAACAGTTTTGATTCATATGCACATACCTACATATGCACATTTATACACATGCTTTGTCTTCATTGCTCATGAATGTTTTTCTTTCTTATTTATGGTAGTGATTATGGTGCAATGTATTTATGTTTAAGACAGTGTTGGAAAACTCGATGACTCTAACTTGGAGTTGCCAAAGTTTCTCGGGCTTGGCAGGCTGCCGAGTCCGGGACTAAACTCATGGGGATTGTCTGACTAAGGCCTTCTCTCCCATTATGTTTTCCTTTATTTTATTTCGAGTGGACTTGCCCAAGTTGTCTCAGTCCTTCCGACCTGACTCAGGCTCTGGATCCTAGTTAGTCCTGACCTGGCTTCTCGTCTTTCCCTTGGTCTGACATATGCTTTAACTTCCTATAGTTCACAGTTGACCTCTGTTCCATGATATTAGGAATTCATCAAATTGGAAACTTTATTGCTTCCTCTACTCTTCTCTGGCTTGAGTTTATTTTTAATTTTTTATAAATTATATATTTCCTAGAACATTGTTTGCCTTAAACTTTACTGTAGTGGTTATGACTGGTTTACCAGAAAAAGTTATTGTGATTAATGTTGTTCCTATGTTATAGCATGTTACCCGAGACTATGGACGAGATTCAGGTACAGGAAAGAGTAGGGATAGAGAAAGAGAAAGAGAAAAAGGGAGGGAAAGGGACTATGATCGCCATCATAGGGACCGTGATCTCCATCATAGGGACCGTGACAAGGGTAGATATGAGAGAGAAGAAAGAGGACGAGAAAGACCTGATGATTACCATAACAGGCGCAGTCGTGATCGTGATTATGATAGGTAAGCCATAACCATCTTCAACATGTGTTTGGAGTGCCTATTCTTTTATGCTATTGTTTTTTCATTGCATTATCAATCTTTCATGGTATTGGCAATTTGATATTTTTCATTTTATTTTTTTTTGTTTACTTGACGCGAGATTTAGCCTCTTTTGTAATTTTTTTTAGATTCAACAATACTCTGGGGTTGCTCGCTGTTCTCATGCTCAATACAAATCAAGTATTTGCTACTGTCTGTTGCTTTTGCTTATATTATTTATGTGGATTATGTAGGCATGGGGACTATGATCGCGATAGAGAAGGGCTTCATCACCATGGATCTCGATCTCGGTCGAGGGATAAATCTAGTCATAGAACGAGATCTTGTTCACGCTCACGCTCCCGATCTAAGAGGTAATATTTCGTTTCAGTTTAGTTGGTTTTATGTTAGACAAGATGACTGTTTAGAATGCAGATGTCGTTTGTAGACCACTGACTTCTATAAACAGGCTTCTCGCTGCTAACCTTTTTTGGAGTATCATGTTATTTTGCACTCAATTATCTTCCTAACATTTTGTTTATTTGGCTAATATCGATTATGTGATTCCAAAGATGGGAAATGCCATGCCTATGGAACGATGCAAATAAAAAATCGGGGTGGTTTAATTTTTTATTTTATATTATTTTTAATTTTAGAAAATATGTTATTTGAGATTTTGGTTTTATTTAGTTTTATTATTGTCTTCTTTAGTTGTAGAGATTTAAAGGTAGAACAGTAAATTCTCTATGGGATTTGGTTAGGATAGATTTTTACGAGGATATAGTTTATATTTTTGTGGGGTTTGAGATGGGTGGGGGCTTCCTAAAATTTATGGCGCTTCACATGGAAGTTAGATAGAGAGAAAGAGAGATAGGGGTCTACGTGATGGAAAAGAAAAAGGAGATAGAGAGGAAATGTATGGGAGAGATGAAATAGGAAAAGTAGATTGAGAGAGAGGGAGAAAAATATTAAGAGAGAGATAAATGTGTTATTTATTTATTTATTATTTCAATTGTATTTAAGGGGAAAAGGTCCCTTCTTTGTAATAAAGAGATTGGAATTAAGTAAAGAATTTGGGTCTTGCGAAAAGGTCTTTGGGGTGAACTCCCTTGCAGACCCAGAGGGAGGGTGTATTCTCTCAACCCTTTTAATTTTAATTTTTATGATTTTGGTTGTTATTTTCTCCCTGCATCAATGGTGCTAGTGGAAAAAAGCTGGATTATACTCCTGGCAAGTTGAATTTTTTATTTTTTTTATTACCTAATAAGTTGAAAATTGGTAAAAAAAATAAAAAATAAAAAAATCCAAGCATTCTGGTAAGATTGAGCTAGTTTGCTTAAAACTTGGCAGGGATCATGGCTGTACAACTGGAGCTTTGGTTTTGTTTTTCTGCATAACCTCTATAGCCGAGTAAGCTAAAAAAGAAGATAGTTTTTATTATATACTACGGGTATTTGGTGTCGTTTTTGAAAAAAGGAACTGCTATGAATTTTTTTTTTTTTGCAAAGGCCATTGTGGCTTATGAAGCTCGAACACTAGCAGATGGTATACATATTTGGTATTTGTAGTATTGAATTAATATATTTTAGCCCATGCTTTCTTTCTGATGCCAGCTATCATGCTGAGGCTGTTTGGATGTACTTTTATGGTATGCTTAATGACTTTGGGCAGTATGGATGGGATAGCCTATCCTCAAGAGCCTTTCTTAGTGGCTTGCTGCTCTTAGTCTTTTGCCCTAGGTTCTGATTTGAGTTCCTTTCTTTTGATTCTAATGTAAGAGTCGTACAAAGCCAAAAAGGTTAAGTATAGGTACGCTCTTCTGCCTCCCAAGTTGTATGGCTAGTGTTCCCCTCTTGGGTATTGTAAGAAAAATGCAGGTTTTTTAGTTATAATAATTATAAATTATTTGACCATGAGATCTTGGTTACAACTGAATTGTATCACCTCCCTTAAGAGATATATCTATTCAATGGTCAACATTTTGATATCTGATGTCAAACATGACTGCATGTTTTTTTTTATTTTAATTGTTGTAAATAGATCAACTGAGTGGTCTCCATTGTTCACAAACGGTCTCTTTTGTGTGAAAACTGATAAATTACTTATGTCACATGTTTACACAGCAAAAGGATAAGTGGGTTTGACATGGCACCTCCTACAGCAATGGTTCCTGGTGCTGCAGTTCCAGGTTCGTTTCCTTTCCTTTGCTATCATTTTGTTCCCAGCTTGTAACGTCAATAGAGCTGTTTGCAACACTTTCTGTTGGACTTCGTGATGTAAAAAAGATAAATATGCATTTCCTTCCCATTTCAGCCTTCCATGTAGGAGCTTAGACTTAATTTCTGCATAGGCTAATTAATTTATTTGTTTTATTTGGTGTTTTAATTCTGAAACTGAGTATGGGTTTTTTGGTTGTTTGCTTGTTTTCTGTGGTGGTTTGTTTGTGTATGTATCTATTTGTTGTTGTAAGAAGGCAATGTTGAGCCACTTGCCCCACTATGCTGCCAATGGGCGTGAGCTACTGTAGATTTTATGTACAAGGAGGGACCAATGCCCCGGTTTGATGATTCTTGTTCGTCTTCAACCGACAACCATTGCATTTTTGGTAGTCTTACAAATATTTTCTTCAGTACTAAAAAATGATGTATATTTTGTCTGTTTCTGGTAGATTCCATTATCAGAGGCGTATGAAGTAGAGTTTTCTCGATATAAGGAGCACATATTAGGTGATTTAGTGGGAATTATTTGCTTGCTTCTGATAATAATTCACTGGTATCACTTATTTGTGATGCACTATTTTCTAACTGAGGATTTTTCTGCGCATGTTTTACAGGTCAGGTTCCAGGAGCTGCTCCAGCTGTGCCTGGAATGTTGCCAAGCATGTTTTCATTACCTGGACAGGTGCCTTTTTGTCAACAATTTAGGGTTTTGGTCCTTTGTACTTCTTATGTGTGCTAGTCGTTGCTAATGTCCTGGGATGGTTCTCTGTTTCATATGGCAGTTTGGAGCCATGCCAATGCCTGTCCAGGCAATGACCCAGCAAGTATGACATGAACTGCCTATATTTCGATATATGCCATATTTTGACATAGTAATCTTTTCTATTTTAATGAACTGAGGGGTATAATTTATTTTTTGTAATTTACAGGCTACTCGACATGCTCGGCGTGTGTATGTTGGAGGCCTTCCACCCATTGCTAATGAACAGGTTTGGTGCCATTGAATTTCTCACAATTTTTATTATTACAGTGCTAATCATTGTGTATGCACGAGATGAAATGTTAGTTTTTTGTGTAAATTAATTTAAGAGAGTTGCTTTTAGATAACAGTCTTGGATTCTGGTGTATACTTAGGGTCAGTAATGCTCAGTTCCTTCTTACCGTTTCCTTCTTTTGTTACACTAGCATTCATTTGAGGAAATCACAATTTTGTGATGGCTGTATGAGGCCATCACAATTTTGCAACGACTGATGGGATTGATTGTGTTGGTTTGCCCTACATGTTAAATGCCTGTGGACAGTTGGAGAAAAAATAGGATTTTTTTTGGGTTCATAAAAATACAAAAGAATGATCGAGTTGAAACGGTGCTCATCTGTTAACAATTGCAATGGCCTCGGCTGGATCCACATCCAAGTTACTTTAAGTCACTGAGTTCATTTCGGCATTTCAGGGAACTAGGTCAATCTGACCGCATGGTAATGGATGTGGGTGTGACTGCATGGTAATGGTTGTGGGTGCAGGGAAATAAGGACTGGGATAAAATCAGCATACTGATGTTTATCCCTGAAGGTAGAAAGTGCGGGTAGAAGTGAACACTTTAGGTCCTCCATTTGTTTTTATTTTATTGTTTTTTATTATTTTAATATGGAAATACTGTCGTAAGAACTGCTGATATACGGTTTACTTGTCTCTGTGGGCTTTAAAAGTTAAAATGAACCCCCATATTACAGTCTCCATGAAAATCATTTTTCTTCGGGAATCCAATGTTCGGTAAAGCCCCATTTCATGGTTTTTTTTTCTGCTTAGAATGGTATTTCCTTTATTCTTTTGTGAACCCCACACATGCCTCTGCCATGGTTATAATATTTCTAAATTTCCTTTCTTTTTGGGATTCTACATTCATGTAATTGGCTTTAGTATGACTTGTTTCGGATGGTATTAGATGGCAACATTCTCTGCTGCCACTCTTTAATGACCACCACATACTTGAAGTCAACTGGGGAACTGCAAAGAATCTATTACAAAAAAAATCTTCTTAGACAAATACACGCCCCCCGCCCCTTCCATCACCAAAAAAAAAATAAAAGAAATAAGGAATGTATCATTTACCCATTTCCTGGCTTTGTATATGGTCTATACAAGGTCCACGTGAAGGTTGATGTATCTTTATAAACTTATGATTTTGAACTGTATTTGTGCTGGATTACCCAAAACTGTGACTTCTGGCTCCTTTTTTGATACTTAATTTATCGTATTTTGTGATTTTAGGTCGTGTGACATCTACTGATGTTTAATCATTTCACTATGTGCCTAGATCTAGGATAAAATTTCTGATTGTTTCGGTCATTTGTGAAGTTCTTGTGCCTGTCGATTGTCCCATAGAGTATCTATTTTCACTCTTTCTGCTTCCTGTTGGCAGCTGCCATCTTGCCACATTATGTTCCAAGTTCAGGGTATTTGCTTTTTGTTTTATAGATGGCGAAGACGAAATCGCTTTAGTCCTCTCTGAATGTTCAAACATTGTCTATTTGTGCTATTGTTTTTAATGATTTGTGAGCCACACCAAAATTCCATGCAGCTAACCGTAAAAAACCTTGTATTGAGGACTTCAAACCGTCCTAAATACTTTCAAATTCATTTATTCTCTAGAAAACTTGATTTGGAGCGTCTAAAATAGTACAAATATGTTTGATCTAGCGTCCATTGAAACTGAGGGTCCAGAGCAGTGTTCAGATATCACTCAATATGGAGCAATTTGAGGGCTCCAGGTCCCTTTTTGTTTATGATCTTGATCCTGTAACTGAAAGAGTATGGATCTGCAAAGTTGTCTCGTCAATCGATTTTTTTGGACTTTTGGTCAAGGTGCATGGTGATTTCTTGTGGCCACGGCCGCTTCAAAACTGGATCCTACAAGGAAAAATAATGTTTCTAGGATTAGGGTTTGTGACCTAAGTACTGGTTTCTTATTTATTCATTCTTGTTTGATGATCCATTTATGTGGTTTTAGGCCTTACTGTGCTCTTGGATCTCCACTGTTGTATATAACATTGAGTTTGGGTTATTGTGAAGTTTGCTTGATGTTTTGATCTCAAAATTAGCTGGATTTTCCCTTAACATTCAATTTCCATTGATATAAAAATGTGAGTCTTCTAATAAAATATTTCATCTTTTGTTCGCAGTCTGTAGCAACGTTCTTCAGCCAGGTGATGGCTGCTATCGGAGGGAATACAGCTGGGCCAGGTCGGTATATGGTTTCTACTGTTGCTTTGTATTGTTATTATGGAAAAAGTTTATATAAGGTTACAACCTTAAACTGTGGAAATAGGGTTCACCTTAAAAATCTATTGGAAAAGGCTGTTTTGATGTTGGAAAACCCTCTAATTGATCATTTTGACATTGAGATGTATGGATATGAAAAAAAAAAAAAGAACATTTCGGTTCCTAAAAATAGTGCATCTTGCAACACATCATCAGGACCGTCTATGTTCAAGATTTTCATGTGTTTATAGATCTACTTGATTTGAACCATATTTGGAGTTTAAAATTTTATAATTTGAGATGAAAATAGATTCTCAAGCCGTCCTAAAATATTTATAGCAAAATTACATCTTATAATGAAATTTGGAGGTGCTCCTTACTTTGATTGTTTAAAGTTGCAACTCTATGCAAACCACACCCTATTACTATTATATTTTATATGGATAAGTTTATTCGTTACCAATCTGCACTCAAACGCAAAATTGTCTCCCTTTTCCAGGCGATGCTGTTGTTAATGTATATATAAATCATGAAAAGAAGTTTGCCTTTGTGGAGATGAGATCAATTGAAGAAGCTAGTAATGCAATGGCTCTGGATGGTATCCTTTTTGAGGTATGGCTTGATTTATCGAAATTATATTTATGTAAATGATTATATGGTTTTCTGCAAATAGGTTCATATGGAAGACTGTTATATTTGTGACAAAAGTGAGATCATCTTGCAGCAATTTCTGAAAGTCCAACATGTTGTTCTTTTTATGTATTTTTGGACATTTATACTAACGACCAGAGCATTCTTGATACTTTCAGACATCAAATAATATTGGTACTATGCAACTGCCTGAATCTTTTGGCATTCATAATAACTGAATGGCAAGACTCCAGGAATGACCCAATTCTCCCATGTTTCTGTTTGATGACCCGAATGCCTTGGATGTTCAACATGCACACTGATAGCGATTAAACGAATTAAATTTTTGAAAACCATAAATATCTGTTAGTTCTAGGGAAGAGCAATATGTTCTCAGAAAATGGAATACAAAAATTACTTGATTTTATAGGAACGTCCAAACTTGGGCTTCTGCGTGCTTTCTTACCTTTTCGGATGTATATTTTTTGTGTTGTGTTTCTAGTTTTAAGCTTTTCATGTCTTTCTTCCTTTTGACTTATATTTTTGCTATTCTCTCTAATGCACAATTTATTATGTGTTCAGGGTGCCCCTGTGAAGGTGAGGAGACCTAGTGATTACAACCCTTCTCTTGCCGCTGCTCTTGGCCCTAGCCAACCCAACCCAAACCTGCACTTGGCTGCAGTTGGCCTGACTCCTGGTGCAGTAGGTGGTCTTGAGGGGCCTGATCGAATATTTGTTGGTGGGCTTCCATATTACTTAACAGAAGTCCAAATAAGGGAACTCCTTGAATCTTTTGGGCCTTTAAGGGGGTTTGATCTTGTCAAGGACAGAGAAACAGGGAACTCGAAGGGCTATGCATTTTGTGTTTATCAGGACCAGTCAGTAACTGACATTGCTTGTGCTGCTCTTAATGGGATAAAAATGGGCGATAAGACTCTCACTGTTAGGAGAGCAGCTCAAGGCAATGCTCAACCTCGACCAGAGCAGGATTCTGTGTTGCTCCATGCTCAGCAACAGATAGCCTTGCAGGTTAGGAGCGTGCAATGACACTTCTAGTTAGAAAAAATTAATGGAACTGTTTTGATGCGTCAGTAACTAACCATACTGAAATACATACCTGACTACTCGTCGGGTTTTATTGCTTGGTCGCTTGTTCCTTTTCATAGTGCCTATTGGCTGTAATTTGTTAGATAATTTTTGTATTAAATTTAATTATGAATTTTTTTTTTCACCGTTTGTACTCAAATTTGCAGAAGCTTGTGTTCCAAGTTGGTGCTCAGCCTACCAAAGTTGTTTGCTTAACCCAAGCTGTAAATGTGGATGAGTTGAAGGATGACGAAGACTATTTGGACATAATGGATGATATGAGAGAAGAAGGCGGAAAGTTTGGTATGACATCAAACAGTAGTGAATGGTTCTTGTGCTTTTATCTTCTTTTCCTCTCTTCCTCGAATCATGAAAAGATATAGAATTCTAACCTTTGCTCAATATTTTCCACTTGAGTCCGTTTTTTTTTAGTTATAATAAAACGTTGTTTCCCTTTCTCTTTTGGTTTTTAAATTCCTTTGACTAATCTATTCAAGTTGGATACTCGATGGATCTATGTTTGAACAAATTGGGTTTTTGAAATGTTGTGGAATAAAATCTCAGTGAGGTTGCTGAGAAACAAATATTCTTTTATGACCATTGTTGCTTTTGGTGATGGATTTATCAACTTTCCCTTTTCCGGAATTACCTACTTAATTTTCAGTTTTTCCGGTTCTATTGAAAC